GGACTATAGTAAGACCTCAGTAGAATATTTTAGTTAATATTGGTCTATTGAGTAATGAGTCAATTTATATCTTTAATTCTTTAATTAAATATCTTTAAAAATCATCATGAAAAGTGATTTTAATTTTAAAGCAAATGCTCGGTTATATGGGAGATATAGTATTCTGTTCACCATATTGTCAATATAAATATGAACTTGCTGATTTATGACACGTAAAATCAAGATCCATCCAGTGAACTAGGGCTAGGAATTTAGACAACCAGAAATTGACCGGATAGATATCTTGATTTTTTCTAATATCCAGAAATAAGTGAAGGTCCATGATCCAGTGGTACTGAGCACCAAGTAGATTATTTATTCCTCGGCTATTCCATTTGTAAAAAAACGCAAGGATTTAGAAACATACAAATATATATTTTTAAAAATGCCCTGTTTGTTGAATGAATTCAAATAATAACGAATTCACAGCATTTTGACAAAGTTCATTCCAATTTATTTGCAAGAAAACTAATATAATAGAAAAAAGAATATTTCTGCTTTTTTTTTTTGTGGTTAGGAAATTGTTCAATCGGATATAAAGGAATCACATAAAGATCCATTGAAAAGTTAAACCAAGAAATCAATAGAACAATTATTCAATGGATTTATGCTCGGTAAAGCAATGTCAAGGAAAGCATAAGCTCTTATTTAAAGTGACTAATGATCAGAAAAGAAAAATTCAGGATCGGTATCATAGCTTCCAAAAGAATTATCTCGGAATCAGAATTCTGCCAAAGTGTCTTTACAACAGTCGGTTCATGTAATTTTTGATGACGTCACAACATTTCCACTACTAGTGATAATAAATATACAACAAATATAGTATAATTTGCTTGCGTGCTCGACATTATGCCTCTCACTAAATTCCTCATGTCTTAATTCCAATTTCTATCGATTCAGCGATCCCAGTCCAAGCCAAACAAACTTCAAGAACGGCTTACATCACTTGATAACAGCGTTATTCACTATTTTCAATTTTGATATAAAGATATAATGTATACTGTGTATATATATATATATATTGACATGTCAGTCACATATATTTAAAAGGTGGTTTAATCAAATAATTAATCATTCGTTAAAAAGCTCATCTTTTAACAGTTCTAATTATTTAATTAATCGATTTGATTAATATATTGACTAATTATTTAAATAATTATTAATTTTAATGAGAAAATTCAAAAATTTTACATTTAAAATCACTTATTACTAATAATTATTTAATATTTAAATACTATTTATTACCTTGATGCTTTTCTTATCAACCTCATCTATTTCATTAATCTTTGATTACTTCAATGCCATTTCCTTTATTAATATTATTGTTAAAGGAATCTAAGTTTAACAATTAACAATTTTAAATTAGTTAATAAAATTTAATTTACCTTCATCATAATCAATCAGAGAAGTTTCAGTCCAAATCCAAGATCTTGTTATAAACTTTTATAACTAATAATATTGTTTATATTTATACATTTTAAATGAGCTCCATGATAAATAAATTCTTTTTGCTTTCATTGTAATCAAGTATATCCGTCTTACAGTATAAACCTAAATACACCCGTCCTTTGTCAAATATTAACACTTTTAACTTGATAAAATGGTATATATTCCATAACCTGTTTTGGAAGAGACGAGAGCATTTGGCAATTTTGAATAAACTCATCAATAATTTTTATTTCCAAGTATTAAATGAACTCTTTAAATACATTTTCAAGAATATCTTGTGGATTTACAACCCTTACATTCTGTTAGTTTTCCCCGTTTACGAATTGCACCAAAAACGGCAAAACGGCCAAATGTCAACTATGACATTATTATTATTATTGTGCAAGATAACTAATTTTTTATTAATAAAAAAATGTTACAACAAAAATTTTAACTAACTTTAAATCTTTTTTCTTCTAACATAGTTGTTTATGCTCATTCATATAAAAAATATCGAAAAGCCAAAATCACAAACAAAAATTCTATATTCTTTTTTGGTAAATCATTGAGAGATGCATTTGTTTGTACGCAAACAATTTGTAACCCTCCATATTTTTCATTTTGGTCAGCCAAAGTCTGCAAAATAGTAGACGCGTTGCTTTAAAATTACATTTTATCTATCCGCGGTTTTCGTTAATAGTGTACCTTATTCATATTAACAATTTTCGTAATGAAGTACGAGTAGTTTAAAAAACCTTTTTCTATATTTCAAAGTAACGTTTTCTTCGAAAATTGTTTTAATAAAAAATAGTTGTTGCAATCTTTTTTGAATGGAATCCAACTTTAGAGTTATAATAGACAGAATACTCATTATAATAGCTTAAAAGACGCTGTTAAGAATTTTTGGAATTCCAATCTCTCAAATCTCCATCGGAAAATTTTTTTTGAAAACTAAAAATATATCGTGTAACATTCTACGTCAAAATTTGGCGTAGGTCTCTGTTTTTCACAAAGAAATCAGGAAAACAATAAAAAAACATGTCGCAAATCCCCTGTTTTTCATGTAGATTATATCCAAGTGTGTATTCTATGAAAATACTCTGATATTGTCAATAATTCACGCAGATTATGTGTATATTGTGTGGCTTAGTTTTACCAAATAAATAAAGCGCATCACCCAAGTAATAATAATAATACTAAGGCCATGCAAGAGAAGAGAATTTTTAATTGAAAAAGTCGCAAGACTCTGGAATAAAAATCGCTTCTGAAAAATAAAATGTATAATATTAAATCTATCATATTGAACTTGGGTATCAGATTTAATAAAATTTTCCTTCTACAAACATGTAAGCGCTTGTTTTCTTCTGTATAATTATCCACACGTGAAGAACTATTGACAAGTTAGAGGCTTCAAAATAAGTAAGGGTATTTGACAGTCTCTTTGATAATAATACAATCTAATAAAATCAAGTGCCATGCAACACTCTCAAATTTGATTGTATCATCGTATCTTTAGATCATCAAGTCGGATTAGCCTTTGTATCCAAGGAATATGAGAATTTTAAATATATGAGCCTCAAAGTAATTTTCAATATTTGTAAATATTGAATCATTTCCTGGTACAAGTTGCTTTTACCCTTGACGTTTCTTAAATTTAATATATAATCGTGCAAAACAAATATTGGTCAATTCTCCCACTCTCGCACTATTCAATTGCTTATAATCACGACAACAAAAGCCTTGTTATTATTGCGAACATCACTACTATAATGTATGTAAATTAAATGTTATTTTAGGCTATGTTATAAAAGAAATAAAAATAATATGTTGTCAATATTATCAATATAAGATAATAATACAAAAAAGTATCTTTGGTTATTAATAAATAACATATCTTCTTCAGAACCTAATGATATCAATCATGTTTAATTAAAGCATGAATGCATAATTCTTCCTTGTCTTAGGTCCCTCATCTAAAATTAAAATATGTATTATTTGCCAAAAATTTTTTTTCTACTGTTCTTGCTTGCTAGGGCCCCAAAATAGCAATAGTTATTTAAAAACCGATTAGAATTATAGCAACCGGATTTTATTTATTAAAAATATAAATAGCACAATTTACATATTTATCTATTTATTCATCAGTAGAACTTCTCCCATTTCAAATTTAAATCTTGGTAAACGTCCAAAAAAAACCCCAAAGTCGCATCAATCTTAAGGAAGTGTTTCCACTTGGTCATTTTTCTTGGCGAATAAAGATAACTCACCTGGTCATACTTATGCATGCTTTTTACCTAAAACCTTGGTGAATGGAATATCTTTTCATCATAAGATATTATTAAGAAAGCTTTAAAAGATCAAGGCTTACAAAACCAAATCACACAACCTCTGAACCTATTATACATAAAATTTGAATGGACTATTTCATTATCAAGTAAAGGTAAAATTGGTGATTTTTATTATTGTTCATAATTTCTTTTATTCTCAGTGTCAGATCAAAATCAATGGATGTCCCAAGGGTGGTGTCAAAAAAGAATTAATAAAACGAAAGATTGAATATGACATGATAATAAAAGTGGATTTGAATGCTTGTTGCTTTTTTTGCAATTATATTATTAGAGTAAAGGAGGAGATTCATCCACAAATTACAAGTATCCCATTTCAAATATCTACAGTATTTTGGTGTTAATAAGTTGAAAGAAACAGGCGATGTTGTTGGAGGATCTACTAACTTTTACTTTTGAAGTTGAAAACTTAAATATTTACCATAAAATGTAGGATCTAATTCTTGATTTATTTCTAATTAGCTTATTTTGATCAAAAATCAAGATATTGGTTTGTAATCACAAGAGGTTCAACTACTCTATCATTCATCTTAAAAAGGAAATTACTTAAAGACAATTGTCCGATTCAGTGAAAAAGAATAATGTAAAAAGGTGATGGATAATTTCCAAATTTTTTTTGGTTACACGTTTTATCAAAATTTTGGAAAACGAGGCGGCAGTAAACATACAAACGAGCAGGTAAGACAACTTCTTGAAGCTTACTTTTTGTCCAGGAATATGCATAAGAAAAATCAATTCACTACAAATTCAATGCTTGCAAGTCTAGAAAAGAGAGCAGAAACAGGTGGGTTGGAAGTAGATAAACACCAAAAATAAAAATTGGATTTAAGATAGAATATCAAACAAAAAAAATTTTTTTTAAGAAAAAAAAACTAGTTTTTATGAAACATGAGAATACCGGTAAAAAAAAATTGTATGTTTATTATTATCATGTTAATGAATTTAACGTTACAATAAATGGCTTAGCACTAATACATGTATTTTTGAAAGCTCTTTTATATAGTACAATTTCTTTTGATACTAGCATTTTTTTATTTTGATCCTAAATAACCCAAGTCATTTAATTAATTACAATAAAGAAACTACAATCGTTATGAAATTGAATTTTATATCATCTTCAAGATTTACAATATCATTATCTGCAAAATCATTATTAATTATTGAGAATAGATAATTTATGATGCACTATTAGCTATCACCAACAACTATATTTTTACTATGAACAGATCCGCCAAGAACATTTCGCCAGGAACTATAAATAAATAAGATTAAGACAATTTAAAAAATTAAATTTTACCTACATTACTATTGTTGTTGTTGGTTTTTTTATTATAGCTTCATCATTATCATTATCAGCCTTATCAATTTTTTTCTTTTCTTTTCTCTTGATATAATCACCTAATTTTGTTTAAAAATAAATAACAATGAGCAAGTTTTAAAGCCTTACATCTATTTTTGATAAGTTCTAGAATTGTCGCAATTTGAATAATCATTTGAACTTAAAACATATTATTATTATGACTTTATCTATGATCAACATAATCAAAATTCACTTGCCTAATTGAGAGGATATAACCATGGTAGAAGTGTTGTATTTTTTGGAGTGTTTTGAGTACTAGTGCTTTTTATACAGTCTAAACCTTACATCTCAACTAACGTCTCTTATTGAGAGCTGTTCAGTGTTGTAGAAATTAAAAATCATTTGCAGTTATAATACCTTATCAATTCTTTTTGAAATATTTTGTTGGTTGAATGATGTTAACAAGTCAGATTTATAATATAGAGCGCAGAATCTAATTTCCTCTTAATAAATTAATCAATATAAAATAAGTTCATAATTAATATTATAAACATTATAAAAATCAAATAAAAAATCTTGAATTTCACTAGTTTTGATATAACCCAGGGTTGGCAAATGTGCGGTCCATTGATGGTCCATTGGTGGTCTATTGGGTCCATTAGTGTAATACCTTAACCATATTTAGTATTTTATTAATGGCAATGGACCAGTCCAAAATCCATCAGTTTTCAATGGACCAGCCAATTTGCCAACCCTGGTATAACCTCCTAATTTGTTCATTTTTGGGGCCTGTGAATACTGCTACTACTACTATTATTGTTATTATTAGTAGTAATGTTAACATCCGGAAATTAATTTGACGTAAAACTTACATGCTCATCATAATATAGCGTAAAACTTGCAGGCCCTCCATGATATTTATATAAAATGTGATTGTTCTGGTATTTTCATCTGCAAGTTTTCCTGATGAATATAGTTGACATTTTATTATTATTACAATTTATTTCCCTATCTTTATTTTTTTTTAAAAATAATATATATAAAATATAATTAAGCATAAATAAACCAATACCTCTTGTTGTAATCCTTTTGTTTTTCTTCCAATTTAAAAGTCAATCTAAAAAAGGAAGACTGCCGATCAAATCTTTTTGGAAGATTTTTTTTCATTCCTTTCATGCGAGGTTGGGTATTGGATATAAAGACAGCAATAATTGGTTGAAAGGAAACTCTGCCGCACATCTAGAACCAACGTGCCAAAATCATAAAGCCAAAACAATTGGTTGACAACATTGCTTTGTTTTATTTTATTTTATTTTGAATATTTTATTACTCAAAATCAATTCATCTTCAGATGTTATTATAGAAGTTTCGGTATCTAGCAAAGTCATTTTTGTCGAAGGCGTGCTTTATGGTTAAAAATGCTACTTTGATAAAAATGATTTTAAGAACGGTGTTTTTTAAAATGAAATGAGATTAGATAATAATTATATCGGAGCGTTGTTTTACCATAAGAATCCTATGATGATGTTGTTGATTAGTCATTAGTAATGAATGACTGCAAGTCAAAAGTGGCATAGTAACAGTCAAATATCTGATATCCATTCAATAATATATATACAGTATATATATGCATACAATGAATCAAATTCAAGCAAAGTATATTCAAAATTATTATCATTAATCATTCTAGATGAAGGTGTTTCCTCACACTTTTTTTATTTAAGCAACCCATTTTTCAAACCAAATTTCAACTTTTTCATAGAAATCAATCAACTCCCTTACTTCCATCGAGGTTTTAGTGCAAATACGCTTTACCATTTCTATTGCATCAAGACGATGCTTTGAAAAACATATTCGTTGTGGATTGTTTGGCATTTGTTATTCAAGAAATTCGATTCCGTATACTATGTATGATATATTTGTTGTCATAATCTGATAGTAAACAAGAATAATTTTTGTTTTTTAGACAGTGAGAATCTCTTTGCAATGTTTTCTCATCAATTTTTGTTGTCTTTTGTACGTGAGATTGTGGCAAAGGTGTGATAGAAATCAAAAGGAAACCTAGATAGTTTCATAAAGAAGGATAAAAGCAATCAAAAAAATTGATCAATAGCCTTTGATATGACTGCCATCAACATCTCGGTCGGTAACAATCAAGGTTTCATCATACCGCAGGCTCTTTGTTGAGCTATATTTCCTGCGTCTTGAAGACCAAGTGATTGTTTTAACCCTTGAATTATTTTATTCTCCAAGATCTCAATATTCGTTACAGAAGTAAAATAAATATGAAAATTGGCCTATTGCCTCTAATATAAAATTTTCCAAACATGTTAAACTTTTGTACCATTTTATTTTGTTTTGTTATTTATTTATTTACCAATGATTGAATTAAGTGTATCAACTTGTTGTTTAATATGTTTACTAATTAATATATAATAATAAATATTATTATATGTTCAGATAATAAAAAATAAAATCAATGATAACAAATCACTCTTACATTTTACTTGACAGGCCAACGACGTTACTATTGAATTCTTTATCTAGATCAACACAAAGCTCAATCAATTGTTTAGTTTTATCAATCGCTGTTTCAATTGCCTCGCCTTGTTTTACTATTGTTTGATCATAAACTTCAAAAGATGATTTTGTTAAAACTGTTGCCTAAACAAAATTCAATCCATTCACATAACGAAAATATATTCATATTCATATTTATATTTATTAGAATTATTGAAAAATGAGCGATTAAAATAATACCTCAAACATTTGCGATTGTAAATGTTGAAACATAGTTTCAACATCTTTAAAAATTCCTTGTGCCTGCTTTTCCAATTCATCCACCAAATTCGTATCTATTGGAAGTATTTTACCAATTGAGAATGCTGCATTAATTTCTTCTTGATTTGAATTGGATTTTGTAGATGTTGAATTGGAATTATTGTTGTTAATGATAGTTTTATCCATTATTATCAGTTATTATCATTATTATTATTTGTGACATTATTTTATGAATAAAAATTTAATTGGACGACAACAATTCACACGTTAATTAATCTATGAAACAAATGTGAACTATTAAACTCTTTTTTCATGGACTATCAAAGCATGCATTTTTATATAATCTTTTAAAATACGTATTTTTGAAATGTAACTAGCCCATGAAAAAGAGTGTTATTATTCCCATTTTTGGTTACTATAGTGTTTTTGGGGAGAACCGATGCCAATGATGAAAAAACCATGATCATATATATTACTCAATACTTAAAATTTGGTTTTGTTATAATAAAAATAAAAGATTCTGTATCCACAAACTATATTCAAAAACGAGAATGGTATCTCTCTTTTTCATGGACTAGTTAGTTCTTATTGATCGACAATATGTTAATTTTTTAGCAGGAAAAAAATCTAAAATCTTCACTTTGAGACCAAACATGTAGGATTCTGCAACGTATTGAATTGACAACCTTTTTGGAAAGTGTGATGAAAATTTCGCCGGTGCCTCTAATCTCCAAGTTCAAGACCAAAACCAGTCCTACACTGGAAAAAATTTACTCGCACTCTCAATATTGATAAAGATACAATGGAAGAAGTCTCCTCCAGCCAGAAGGATTTAGCTAGTTAAACGTCATAACTATAACCAATCAAATAACTAGATCATATATTAATTGGTTTATTGTATGATAAATATATGAATATCTCTTGATTCTTCTAAAAAAAAGAAACAAAATTTAGAAATTCAAAAACAAAAGAATCGATCATGTATTCATCTAATGTTAGAGTAATACGTAAATGAAATTTCTAATATTAATATGTTATAGAATAATAAAATGCCGTGAAATAATTAAAAGTGAGTCAATTCTAAGCTAATGAGTGTGTAAAAGTAGGATGGAGAACGAATTATAATCGCTAATAATTTTTATTTTTAAAGAGACAAATTACCTAAATAAATAATATTTTTGTGAGCAATGGAAAGTAAATATATTATGATGTAATATGCAATAATAATATAAAATCATTAAAATGATTAATTATAATTAAATGTTTTTTTTCTTAATTAATTAATAATAATAATTATTATTATTTATTAAGTATTCTTTTTAAAATTGAACAATTTTTGTAAAGATAATTGATGAACGATAGAGGGTAAATCTTCTTGAAACATAGTTCTTAATCTTTTCTCAATTTCATTTTGTAAAAATCTTTGTATAGTTGATATACTATCAAAAGTTGATGTAACATCTATTTTTTCAAGAGGATCACTTTTAAATGCTAATGTAATTCCTTTTTGTTTGCTTACCACCAACACAAATATCCCGCGTAATTTCAAATTACTTAGTCGTAGTAACATTGGCACTACAAGAGGTTGATCTGCTGCAAGAATACCACGTCTGGTATATATGCTTACATCTGATTTATTATTATTCATTGGATTTGCCTTAAAGGGGGAGAGAATGAAGCAATTAATAAATAAATTCAGAAAATTGTGAGAAAATAATAATTAGGTGTATTTTTTATATTAATTTTTGGCTAATTAATTAATTACCTGTACTTTAGTTTGTAAAGTTAAATGTGCATCACCACTATATATCAACTTAAATATTCCTTTAAATTTATCTACTGCCAATTCACCAATCTCCATAACCTCTAGTTCAGGAGGCTAATTAATTAATTTATAATAATAATAATAATAATAATAATAATAATAATAATAATAAAGATTAACTACTGTTTAAATAATTTTAATAAATTTTTTTTAAAAAATTTTATTTTTAAATTTTTTTTGAACTGACAATTTTATCGAATGTCAACCTTCGTTCCCATGTTTAAATCTTTTACAACTATATGATCCACTATATTTGCTGGTTTATTGCTTTTATTTAAAGCTGTTGTTAATAATTGTTTTGCCTGTTCTATAAATTCAGTAGTAAAATCTGGCCAATTGAACTTGAACGCCATTCGATTGATTTGTCGTCGTCAATAATGTTTATTATAATTTTTTTTTTGATAATGATGATAATAATTATTATAATTATTATAATTATGTATACTATAAAGCATCAAAAAAAAAACTTTTTTAGTTTATTTATATGGAGAATTTTTGAAGTAGGAGAAGACAAGAAAAGCGAAAAAAAAAGAAAGTAGCTAAAAGGAAGAAGACATTAATTAGTCAATAAAGTTGATATAACAGTTGTTGTAGGTTATAAAAAAAAATTAGAGATTCAAATTACTAATGTTCCACGAAGATTATAAAAACAAAAAAGGCATACCCAATTTAGATTACCAATTGTCACACGAGCATAGCAATAGTGTCAAAAAAAATCAGCGTATAAATGACAATTCCACAGCCGATGATGCTTGCTGTAATATTAATATAAATGTATTACGTAATTTTTATAGTTTCTGTTATATGAGAATGCTTACAAATTTTTTTTTTTAAAATTAATTAATATTATATATCAAGTTTAGACGATCTGCTTCAGGCTATTATGTTATTTTTTTTTGTGATCAGCATATAGCATAATTTCTAAAATTTACATCCGTTTTCAAATCGCTACCAAAAAGATAGTGGATGGGGTGCAGTTTAGAGCTATGAAGAATTTTATTATGAAAACATTGAAAAATAGGTTATTTTCAAAATACATATGCTTAAGAATAAAATTAGTAGAACAAAACTTCTCATAACTCTAAACTGCACACCATTTGCTATATGCTCATCATGTTTTAGCTGCCTGTTATATTATACCGACAAAATTTCGTTTATATATTTTATCATAACTTTCTTTATTAAAATCTTCAAACACATTATATCAATAATTTGAACAGAGTACACTCTATATTTGTACCTATCATCTTGTAAATTAAAAAGAAACATTTACCATGGGTGCATTTCTAAATAAGCTTCCCATAAATTTTTTTTGTAATCCTGCAAGTATAAAATTGGCAGTCCACTTCGAGAATCAACATGGGCTCATAGAAACATTAGCTTTATCAGGGAAAAAGCATCAAATTGCGCTTTTATCATATTCAGTAATCTTGGTTCTCTAAAGGCTTACCTTCATTCCCATTAATTTGAGCGAATGTTTTGGCTTCTGATATAGAATTAGGTGAAACCTAATGAGATTTTATAATTCTATGTAAATAACCCATTTATAAAAATATAATAATTTTAAACTTCTAATTTTTTTGTAATCTTTCATATTATTATGGAAAATCTTGTGCAATAATGGATAAGATTCTTTTATTTTCCATCTGGTCCTCATTTATTATCATCAAGGCTTTTCTTGAAACAACTCCAGAAAGTTTTATCTTCATTATGAGATGGATACGCATTTAAAAAACCGGATCTACTTGATAATCTTGGTTCGAAATCTATTATTTACATCTTATACACTTGTGTTACTCTTTTAAGATACAAAATATTTTATTTATTAAATTTTTATCTTCTCATACGCACCAAGAATCCGAGATTTCATTTGTTGTATCATTATATAAAACCAGCGATTTTTTTTTCCTTAAAATTCCTAATTCTTTCCAGCATTATTTGGACTGCAATGAATTTTCAAACCATATCAACTACATCAATTATTTTTTGAACAAATGTACACCATTTTACTTTTGAAAGCATGGTTAAAACAAGATATATAACCATTCCCAACTCCACAAAATTCATTATTATTTGAAACACCTAGACCGTAAACAAATAATTCAACATTTTTTCAACTTGAATTATATATGGGCTGGATTCTGTGTTTAATAACAATTCTTGAACAATTTCTTTTATCTCAAACCCTAAGACTTTTGCTTCAGAAATTCTCAATGAAGTTTCGATAAATTGTGTTTTCATTCCAACACTATATCATTTATTGTTTTAGATGTTTGTCACCACTAATTTTTTACATTGATTCCACAATATAGTTCAGGATCAATAGAACTTGAACCGATAAGTTTTTCATTTTAGATTAGGAAAGTTTTGGATTCTGTTATCAATCAATTGATCCGCTACTATTTATTAATTGCCTTTACATAAACTGTTATAATTCATCATACTGATATTTTTAATTCTAAAAAAATGTTCGAGCTGAATGTTGGGAAGTAGCTGGTCTGGAAGAGTGATGTCAGATGTCAAAAGCTTTTGCTCTTCCCTAGCTGAGCATGACCGACTATCAAGCCAAAAAATGATAACTAATAATTGGAACATCTGATTATGCATTGTGCAAATAAAATAAAAATTTTGTGATCATAAATCTAATATACCAATATTTCTGGAAATTGGGTGTTAAAAGCGTCGTGGAATTAAAACAAAGGTGTTGAATATGATATAGTGTCTGCCATCTAGTTGGGCTATATAACTCTTTTATCCTTCTTACTACAGTTTTTAACTCTATATAAAATTGCTTCATCTGAATTACAACATTCTTGATGCAAATTCTCAAAATTTTCTAATTTCTTTTTTAAATTTGGATATATCAATTCAAGAATACTATCTTGAAATGACGCCTATAAAATTGGCCTATTCTCAGAACTGATTTGGGATTGGAATCCTGATTTTGGGGCAATTGATCAGAATTTTGGTTTGTCTCAATTCCAAACGGGGGTCCAGGCAATGGGATTGGCAGTTGTGCAGGTGCAGGATTTCAAAGAGGACGTGGAAGATATTGTCTATTTCGTGACGAGAAAGCTTCCATTTTTTGAGAAATGTTTTAACACATCTGCCACAAGTATGAATCAAGGTGTATGAATGTGTTATACATTCATTGATTGCAAACTTTCTTTAAGTTTTAATTTTATTCGATTAAATTAAAATGTTTGGTGAACGAATACCGTTGCCTCTTTCTTTAAAAATGACGGCTTTGCCTGCTCTAAATCTTGCATGAGCCCTAAGGGGTGAAGGGATCATTGGAAGACTAAAAAGGACTCCTTGTTCCTCTTGTAGTGAACATACTGCTTCAATTTATGGTTCATATTGGGAAGAGGTATGTCATGAAGTGGTATAATTTCAATCGTCATCTTTGTGCCGATTCCTAAAAATTCGGCTCGCTCCTGCCTGAAAAAAATGCCAGGTATTTTTGACTCTTCTCTTGACCGTGTGGCTTTCAAAATTCGGCTTGTCTCCTGATGTATGTGTATCAAAACTCGGCTCTTCTTTTACGTAATGGCACCAAGATTCGCTTGTCTCTTGAGCAAGTGGTACCAAAATTTCAGACATGTTATCAAAGGGCACCAAATTTTGTGCTATTACCAATTTTGTTACATACTTTGTCATAATAAATCGATTGTAGTAGAATCAATTCTAGCATAACAAGCATCTTTTTAGCTTCCTAAAGCGCAATCAAGACATTTGTTCATCACTCATGTTTTTCATGCTTTTGGTGCTTATTTAATGGCAAGTTGGGTAGCATAAACTTTTGATATCCTACTTGACAAGATAAAGCATGTGATAATTTGATATTTAATAAATAGTATCTTTTTTGACTATCTAAGGATTTTGACAGCAAGTTTGATACCAAAGATCGATTTTGTCCTAGGACACTGTTTTTACCCAGGTTTTTTCCTTTAATCAGAAGTGAACGTATCTCCAGAAAAGACTTTTGGTAAAAGATATAGAATTCCTATTCAGGATATTAATTATATTAATTGAGAACCAAATGAATTTTTTGTGTTCTCTGAAAAAAAATTACGTATTAGTATTACCATTACGTGTATATTGTATTCAGGGTTCAAAAATTAGTAAATTATGAGGATCATCATTCATTATAAATCTCTAGTATTTTTGGTTTTTTTTGTGATTATTATGTTTATCCATATGCTGTTGATAGCTAAATCTCATGGCTCTGAAATTTATTTCCATCGCTTGCCCAAAACTTCCTAATTTCTTTGTGGAAAAAAATTCTATAATGAAATAAGAAACCCAACCAACAACCTGCAAAAAAAGTTTATTGTTGAAAGTAAATCTTTTTTTATAAAGTTATTGAAAGTTATGAGCATTTATTTCATATTAGTAGCACAGTTGTGATATTAAACAATTTTAAACCCTGAAATTAATTACCTTGTCACTTTTTTGCGTACTATATACGTAATTACTATTAGTATTACTATATCGGTAATAATGCGTTTTTTATATAAGTTCTTTCATTTTACTGAGATCAAATTTGAAAAAGTAAATTTTTTTTGATTTTTTATTTTAAAATGATTTCGTACTCGAGAAATTTATTCACTGGGCCAATTCTTTCGCATTTGGAAGGTGACAAATTGTTATTGCCACCATTTGTTCTTGAAGAAATATTACGTGCAGGAAGTGGTAGTAAAAGTGATGGTTTTGCAATTGCAACTCACGACAGAGACGATAGCGATTTTTCAAATACCCATCTACCATATCCAATCGTTTTCCAAATTTTTAATCCAAAAACGCGTTTAATAACTCATGGTGGTGTTAAAGAGTTTAATTCGGCAGATGAAAAAGCTTATTTACCACCATGGATGTATGATTCGCTTTCACTTAAAGAAGGTGAAGAAGTAACTATTAGACTTAAGGAATTGCCAAAAGGAACTTGGGCACGGTTTCGCCCCATGACTATGGATTATAAAGATATAATGGATTATAGGTTTTTTTTTGCTTTTTGTGGAAAAAAAAAAAAAAAAGAATTTTTTAAAAAAAATAATAATATTATTAACAATAACATTTTTATATTTTATATTAGAGCTGCATTTGAAGCATATTTGAGATCATATTATACAACATTGACCACAGGAGAAATACTTACTATAAAGCAAGCAGATAATTCATATCAGTTTTTGGTCGATTCTTTAAAACCAGAAGACGCAGTTCAAATAGTTGATACAGATTTAGAAGTAGATATAATACCATTTATAGAAGATTTACAAAAATTAGATAATAAGAAAAAGAAATCAATAGAAAAAGAAATAACGGCTATTGGTAAACCTTATGGCGGAAACGTATCTCCACAAGATTACGAATATTGGTTTTTAAACTTAAATGATAAATCATATGGATTAAATATAGAATTAATATATAATGATGGTGATGCAGGTAACAAAGATATATATATGTTTTTTATATTTGATTTATTTGATTTATAATAAAATTGTAAAATTTTTTATTTTACCAAAAATAAAGATCTTATCGTATCTAATGAACGAAATCCAAAGATAAATGATCATTTATGGTCAGATTTTTCATCGCCATCGTCAACAGCAACAACAACAACGAATAAAAAAACCATAATAATTCCACCAACAAACCATGAATATTCTATTAATGATAAATTATATATAGGAGTTTATGGATTTAGTGAATCTACAACATCGTATGAATTAATGGTAACACTTCTTGACCCAAAAACAACAACGACAACAACGCCAACAACGCCATCGACAGAAATAAATGATAATATAAATAAATTTCAATGTAAGAATTGCGATCAATGGATACCCCAACAAACTGTAATGTTGCATACTAACTTTTGTGAAAGAAATAATACAAAATGTAATTTATGTGGAAAAGTAATGAAGAAAGGTGAAGAGAAACAACATTGGCATTGTGATAAATGTGATAAGGTAATAATAGTAATAAAAAAAAATCGTTATTCTAATAATCATCATAATTATATTTCCAAGAAAAAAATAGATTAAACGTTTTTCTCTATTTTATTTAGTATGGTGATCTTTTAGAAAAAGATAAGCATGAGCTTATATTTCACACACTACGCAAATGTTCATGTAAATATGAGTCAGAATCACTTCAAGATCTAGCAAGACATAAAAGAACCACGTGTCCAGATCGATTGATTACATGTAAATTTTGTCGCAACCTGGTGAAACAAGATGAACCGTCGACCAATCCACAAGATCTGCTCGAGGGATTGACAGTACACGAGTCATATTGTGGCGCCCGGACGATTAAATGTGTGAAATGCGAAGAATCGGTCACATTGAGAAATGTGAGAGCTCATGCTAATATGCATGAGATTGAGAAACAAAATCGAAAGTTGCCGAAACTTTGTCGAAATGAAAATTGTATAAAACCAGCAGCCAATAACATTCTTAAGTTGTGTTCAACATGTTTCGGACCTTTTTGGTCTCCAACTGCAGACCCGACTGGTAGAATGTTGTATACTAGACTTGGTAGAAAATATCATCAACAATTGACAGTTGGTTGTGGGAATAGTTGGTGCACAAACATGGTAAAATATCTTATATTTATCAAGATAATATACCTTTTATGTTTAATCCATTATTAATTCGTATTCATTATTTTATATAGTATTGTGCAACGGGTAATTCAATTAAAAAAGATCCAAACACAGCCGCATCAACAATCTTACCACATCTTCAACAAATTCAATTATCACAAACGACACCAATTTATTTATGTGTTGATGAATTAACAACTCGTAGACGTTTCCTTGCTGACATTTTGTATAAAGGTAAAGATTTAGCAAATGGAGATGGTGGCGGAGAATGTTATGAAAAGTATCCAATTGAGTTTTGTGTCAAGGCTGTTGAGATTGAAAATGAAGATTTAGTTGAGGCAAGGAAATGGTTACAAGCTAATGCACCAATTATAGTACGGAAATGAGATGATGGTTGGTTGGTTTGATCTTAATTAATGTTATTGTTGGTCGTTTTGATTAGCTATATAACGTAATTTATTATAGATTTTATTGATATATATAAAATTTGCTTATTTATTAGAGATTTTATTGATATATAAAATTATTTAATTTATTAGATAAAATTAGTATGCAAAAGCAAAAAAATTTTATTATTATTTTATTGTTTTAGTTTTTTTTTAATTTGATAAATCATTCTTGCAAAAAAAAAAAATACAAATAAATAAAAAAAAGTAGTAAAAAAAAAATATACAAATTTTATTTTTAATATAGATGTATATAAAAATAAATAAACTGCAAGATAAATAATAAACAAAAAAATAAAATCACAAAATAATAATAAAATATTTACAAATAAAAAAAAAAGACAAACAAATAAATAAATATATACTTTTTTAAAAAAAAAGATTTTTACAAAAAAATAACCATTTTCTTTCTTTCTTCTTGTTTCCTTCCTTTTTTTTCTTTTGTCTTTAATTTATTATTAATAAATTTTGTTGATATTGACAGAAATAAAAAATATAAATAAAAATTCTCTAAAAAAAAAAAAGCGTAATAAGAGTAATGGTGGTGTTGGGTGAATAGTAAGTGCAATAATATAGTACAATATAAATTCTAAAATTAAATAAAAAACAAAAAAAAAATATACAGAAAAAAGAGTGGAAAAAAGAAGAACAAATAAATAAATAAATAAATATATATATATATGTATATATTATATATATATATATTTATTTATTTATAAAATTTGGATTTTTGAATTTTTGAAAGAGAAAAAAGAGAAATGAAGTTTTTTTTTTAATAATACAAAGGAAATTTTTTAAATGCTAAATATATATTGCAAGAAAAAAAAAAAATTTTTTTTTTAATTACCAATTGTCCAAACAACAAAAAGAATATAATTGTTAATTTGAAAAATCTTAAAATGTTTTTTTTTGATTTTGAATTTAGATAAATCAAAAACGTCAAGTAATTAACATATATATATATATATATACATCTGCTTCCGCTATTTCATCATTATCGCCACAACCCACACACAACATCACCGCACCAACCAACTTTGTCTATTATTATTATATCAACCAAGGCCTCCATTTATTTTTGGCAGCATTTTGTCGTTCTCTTTCTCTTTCTTCTTTTTCTTTTTCTTCAGTCAGTATGAATTCAGCTGCCGAAGCAAGTAAATCTATCGCTGATTGTTCACTGGTCGAAGGACTAGTTATTTTTGTATTTTTATTAGAGGAAGGCATTAATGATTTGATTGATGGTAGATGAATTGGAGATGTTGGAGTGATGGGAGAGGTAGATGAAGATGGTGGCGATAGATGAGGAATAGTTGTATAAGATCCACCATCTTCATCTTCATCTTCATCGTCACCATTTTCATTATTTATTTTAAGGGGTGGTAATGGATACAACATTCTTTGATTTAATGAATTGTTATTGTTGCCACTGCTGTAATGTGACGGTGATATGTAGGCATTATGATGACGATTATGAAGATAGTTATGATGATAATTATTAACATTAATAATGTTATTAAAGTTGTTATGGGTAGGTGTCGCGCCAGAAACAGTTGATGCTCTTGGTCTAGTACGATTATGATTATGTTGAGTAGTTATTTTATTATGTGATGATGTGACAGAAGGTGAATGTGAGGAGGAGGGAGGGTGTGCGTAAGAATGTCGACGATTATTACGACCTCCCTTTAAACCACAAGCACCATTTGAAGAAGCATTTGAGCCGTTTGTAAACATATGTATGAAGGTATAATTTCCAGGATTTACAACAGAAGAACTCAAGGAAGATGAAGAAGCAGAAGAAGCATGATGGTGACCATGATGACCGTTAGCAGTATGATGAGTAGCAGTAACCGAATGATGATGTAAGAAACGATGATGTTGTTGAGAAGCATTATGTTCATTTGCTTTTGCACGATTAGCTTTTGCACGTCTATTCTGGAACCACACCTATATATGAAAATTTAATTGTAAAAAAAATAAAAACCACTGATTATTAACTGCTACAATTATTATAATTAATCACGCACACACACACACATATATATATCAATCAATCGATATATTACCTGAACTTCTCTGTTTGTCATTTTTAATTTCTTGGCCAATTTTTCACGGACATCATAACTAGGAGTGTCAGTTTTTTCAAATACGGACATAAGGTCAATTAATTGATCTTGAGTGATACGTTTACGTTTGACTTTTTGTGACGATTGTTGACCATTATCGTCAACAGCAGCAGTATTAGAAGGTGAAGTAACATCGATAGGTGATGTAAGATCGGTAGATGGGGTAACGTCGATAGCAGTAGCAGATTCAAGTGATGATTGATTATTATTTTGATTGTTGTCATGGCTCTTCTGGTTGTTAGAAGTGTAAGCAGTGTTATTGTTGTTGTTGTTGTTGCTGTTGTTGTTATTGTTGTTGTTGTTGTTGTTGTTGTTGTTGTTGTTGTTGTTGTTGTTGTTGTTGTTGTTGTTGTTGTTGTTGTTGTTAGAATAAGATGATAATTTTGATTTTGATCTTTTGCTTTGATGTTGAGGAACAAATTGGTGAGAATTATTATAATTATATTGTTGAAGATATTGATAATCATTGTTATTATTAGAAGATATTTGAAAATGAGTTTTTGTTGGAGAAATAAAACCAGGAGTTAAAGGTGGAGTAATCATATCACCACTATTGCTGCCACTATTATTACTATTGTTACTGTTATTGACGTTACTGTAATGATTGTTATGGTTGTTATTCATTAAAGACGACGATCTACGATTAGAAGATGGTATAGAGAAAGACGTCGATCTTGTTTTAGTGATAGTTGTGGTGGTGTTAGTGGTGTTGGCGGCTATGACGTCATCAGAAATAATAGATGATGACGATAAGCTTGGTTCAGAATAACGTCTCCAGTGACCATTATGATGGTTTTCTTGAGAAGATGTTGATGATGATTGAGAAGAAGAATTGGCTGTTGAATTATCAGATGTGGTGATGTCACTAACAACATTGCTAGTTTGATTATTAGAAGAATCGCTTGAAACATTTACATCATCTGTAACATTCTTGTTGTTGTTGTTGGATTGTTCGTGATGATTTAATAAAGAGAATATTGAAGATATGTTGTTATTATTGGTAGAAGATTCTTGGCTGATATTATTATTATTATCAATTGGATCGTTGTTATTTATAATAATAGATGAGGAAGCAATAGCGGGAGAAGATGACGATGAAGAAGATTGATCGAGTAATGCAGACATTTTTTAATTTCGGTTTTCTTTTGTCAGCTAATAAAAATATAAATAATCGTTAGATGGTATGTACGTGCAAAAATATAATAGATATTATATATTTACATATGTGGTACTATATCTATTATCTATCTATATATATATGTGTGTGTGTATGAATGTATGTATGTATGTAAATTTTTAAAAAGTTTTACTTACATTTGCTTTAAACTTGAGGAATGCTAGAAGAAGAAAGAGATGGATGAAGAAGGACTACCAAAGTGCTTTATTGTAGACGATAAACCAAGAAGAAAGTAGTTTTTGTAAAGAGAATATATATAATATGTATATATATATATATATATATATATATATATAGTATACGAGCAATTGTGAACCAGGTTTTTTGTAATTAGATATAAAGTAAACGCACACACACAATAGAGAGAAAATTAAAAATAGAAAGAATCCTACAATCGTTTTTAGTAGTTATTAGGAATAAAATAAATAATAATTGTTAGAAGAAGAAAGAAGTGTTATTATGATAATAACCAGAAAACAATGAGAATAATAAATAATTTTTTTTTAGGAAAAAAGAAAAAAAATCTTAAAAAAGAGGAAAAATGATTTTTTTTTGATTTGAAAATTACTCTTGAAAAAAAAAAATAATTTTATTTATTATATTTTTTTAAATTGTAACAGAATAAAATAGGAAAAAATAGATTTAATTGGAATTTTTAATTATCACACACTGCGTGAAATTAATTAATATTATTAAAAAGTCAGATTAAAAATTTCAAAATTTAGATGTGTTGTAGTAGTACACAAACAAAATCTAGGAATTATTTAGCAATCCTATTACGTTTTTTTCATTTTATAAATAAAAACCAAAGCAGTTTTGGAAAATATTTATAACAAAACTCCGAAATAATCGCATGGAATAAATTTATCAATGATAATTATTTTCGTAATTGTAGTTATAAAGGATGTTAATATATATAGTACGACGAAAAACAAAGTTAAATAGGTTTTTTTTGACATTTGAAATCATTTATTATTTTGTTAGGAATTTTAGGAAAAAAAAAAAAAGTTTAAATATAATTAAATTGTATCACGTTAAATTATAATGTTTTTTATTTATTTATTACTAATTTTAAACTATTCTCTAAAAGTTAAAATTTTCATTGTGTGTGTGTATGTATGTGTGTGTGTGAGAACCTGCATGGAGACAAGTGTGTCATATGTGTGATATCTGTTATATATTTATGTGATAACTAGAAGAATAATAGACTTCTTATCGAGCATATGGCTGAATCAAAGAGTAAAAAAAAAGTAAAATTCAAAAAGTCTATATCAATAAAAGTCAATTTAAAAGTCAATCAATCAATCAGTAGTCATCATCGTCCGGGGTAAATCAGTTGTATATATATGTGTGTATATATATATATATATATATATATATACAATTAATTAACGCCATCATCATAAATGATTTTTTCATATACAATTTAAAAAAAACGTCCAAATAAAGTACAAATTACTTAAAATTATTTATTTATTTATACTTTTGATATCATACAATTGTTATATTATCTATTATATTTATTTATTAATTTGGTTATATATATATATACAGTTTCTTAATTAGGATATGTTTATAAATGAAAATGAAATTGAGAAATTGATTTTTTTTTTTTTTTAATTAAATATTATCCCAATTTAATTATTATTCTAACTTTAATAATTATTTTAACTTTTTGACTAAATTATTCTTTATTTCATCATCGTTTCTATCCGAGTATCTTGTTCGTTCGGAAAAGTGTTAATAAATAAATATAAATATAAATATATCCAAATTTGTCGTTTTCATTCAAAACAATTTTCTTTAATAAGAAAAAAAAACCAAAAAAAAAAAAAAAATGGAATTACTATTTTACTTTTTTTTTTTTTTTCTTTTTTTTTATATAATAAATAATAAATAAAATAATAAATAATAAACGAATAATACATCATTACCATATAATTTGGTTAAACACTAATCAAAAATAAAAAATTCACGATTGTCGTTATTGTTTTCGTTGTTTTCATACACAAAGAAAAGATCATCCAGAAGAATAAACAAATAACGAAGCATAATGGTTATTATAAGTAGTAATCGGTGGGCGGATGAATTGTAGTAGAATGATTGTTCCATTTGGTTTGAGAGTATTAATTAGGTTGGATGTCAATTAGGAAGTTGCAATTAATTAAAGTTTTTTTTTTTTTAAAAAGTAATTATTATTAATTAATTATTTTTCAATTTGGTAATGGCAATCAACTAAAATATTAAGACTCGATTTTAGATTTGGGCGAGGCTAATTTTTCATACAAAATCTTTAAAAATAAATAAATATTCCTAAAAAAAACTTCAAACCCTAATCTTTTTAAAAAGATCATCGTCGCTTCTTTTTCGTATTTGTTCAAATTTCCATATTCGGTTCAATTTAAAATTCAAAATATCACGTGACCAAACAATAAATGATGCGCTGAAAAACAATTAATTTTAGCATTATGCATGCTTATGTGTAAATACATAATATTTAATAATGTTTTTTTATTATCGTGAATATATTTGGTTAAGCTAGTTCAATGATAGAGAAAACCAAAAAAAAAACTTGATTTTTCGATTTTTTTTAATCTTCTCTTTCTTTCACACACTCTCTATACACATAATCGAACACTGCCACTTTTCAACAGTTTGTATCACACTTAAACATATGGGGCGAAAAATGTTAATTCCACGCATAATATTTTTATAATGGTATTAAAGAAAGCAACACCGTTTTTACTTTATTTAAAATTTTTCCGAGCTAAACACGTTAGTATTAGTATAAAAATTCCTTTATTATAATCATTATGCTTGTCACTACCCATATCCTCATATATCCATTAGCGTTAATTGCTCTTTTAATTTTATCGTTAAAATTGGGGGTTTTATTTTCCAAAAAGCCATAGTGTGGCACACAAATAATTCATCAATTAATTTTAATTACTTTGTATGGTAATTTATTAAAATACCAACATAACACAACAATCAGTATACTAATATAACTACATCATACATATAATTAATTGGGGTATACTGCAACAAAACAAAAAAACAAAAATGTGCACTTTAATTCGGTTCATCGACGACTGTACAATAATAATAAATATTTGTTTTCTTTATGAAAAGCAATCAATTAATGGTTGTTTTTAATCCTTAACCGTAATAATAAGAAAACTATATTCAAGATGTACCTTATGTGATTTAAATAAATCTTTTGTTTTTGTTTGATTGGCGTCAAAACAATATAAATAATCCTTCATCTTGTGTCTGAACATTCATTCTCAGGAAAAAAAAATCAAACTACAAATCCTTCCAACATATATTTTTTTTTCGTTTAAAAAATCAAAAATAATAAAATTATTTATAATGCTTTTTTTTTTTTTACAAATAAATAATTTAACTAACAAAGATAACAAGTGAGATAATGGTGATGTTAAACAATTTTGAACCCTGAAATCCTTGGTTGTACAAATGTTCACACGTATGCTTCCAATTATTCTTTTTCACAAGCTTTCCCCAGAAAAATCACAAGATGAACCAACTACTTCTGTATGGATTATAATCGATGTTTTTCCATGATTTATCTTTATTTCAAATCCTTTGTTCTAATATTATTAATATTTTATGCATCATGTACTGTATGTTATTAAGGATATTTGAATATGTAATTTGAAATTTATATGTTGCTAATTTTAATTGTTAATTGTTCTCTAGATTGTTAATAAAAATTGGTGTCCTCCTCATTTAAAAATTCTTCGAGCCTTTTGTGTACTCATTTTCCTCTATGATTCATTCGTTTTAATTAGTTCTTTAAGAGCACTGTCTAAGGAATCCATCGTCACACGAGTATGGACGATGGATATTAATACATTTATGGAAACCATTCTTTGACATATTCATTACTGAGCGCAATTATAATTTCATTCATTTTTTTTCTGTTTCATGAAACAAAATTGATAGTGTTAGCGAGTTCTTTTTTCTGTGAGAACTAAATATCTAGAGTAACTCGTTTATTGGTACGAGCAATTGCAATATTGTTATTGGTATCGTTTCATAGTAGTGATATCGCAAATAGTAAGTGGTATCGTTGATAACAGTAAGGGTATTCACTGCCTTTGATATAATATTAAAATTTATCTTGTACAACAAACACACTGTATATTTTTTTTTCCTCTGATAGAGCTATTGTCTAAATCTATTAATATTTTGGAATACCCCTTATTTTGTGACTATTCATTATATGCTGTGTATTAATTATTTAAATCCATTATTATTAATAAATATGTGGATTCTAAAATTGAGGAAAAAGACATTTGATAAAAATTTTCTTCCAGGCCTTTGATTTTATTGCAAAAGAAAAATGAATTCACGAATTTTGACTTTTTGTTATAAATTTTCCATTCGTATAATAGTTTGACAATAAAGGTAACGATAAAACGATTTATGTTTGATTTTTTGGTTGTTTAATTGTTGCGAATAATTGAAGACTGGCTAATTAACTTTTCTAGTTGGTATAATTCAACTAAATTCTATTGTATCATCTCCTGCATTCGTTCATCATCAACTCATTCTTATGGTTATTTCTCTCTCGATAATGCTTACTCCGCCTATTTAATCTATCAAAACAAGTAAAACGAGCAGAAATTTGCTTTAGAAAATATTTCATAATTATAGAAGAGCAATCTTTGGAAACATACGATTGACCTTATCCAGATATCTTTAAATTGTAAATGTCGATGTGAAAGGATGAACAAACGAACGAAACCACTTGCAATACTTGAAGTCCGTTAATTCAACAAAACCAAAATGATTGAAGGTTCGTTATAAAACTTTACTCCCCGTGTTCACTTCTTATAAAGGTTTGAAATTGCAGATGAACATAATTCTTTTCGACATTATACGATCCAGATTTTTTTCAATGCTAGTTAATCACCTTCGCTTG